CAACACTATTCAAACCCCCATGTTTTATTTGTGAGTTATGTATAGTGAAGGACGACAGACTAATGCAGCAAAAACGGCAGTGATAACGGCTCGCAAATTGAAGTTATTCGACTTAGAATATTCAAAATACAAGAAAGAAAAATGCTGGCCCTCAAATCAATTTTCGCGGGGTCACTTGACCACATTTCACTCACCCATGACGTCGGAAGGCTGCCCCAATGAAATAAGCTTGAAGCGCCTACCTAGGCGTAGCTCGCACCCCATCGTTGCTTGCTTTTTTTATTTTCTTCTTTTCAAAGTCATGTTGACTTTTTTGCCACAGTAACAAGTGTGATGCTTGCGGAACTGGAGCGGGAGCTACTGTGTCGAAGCTAGGTATTTTCTGCCGTTTTTTACAACAGTCCAAGTCAATCCGTCCTCTTATTCTGAGAATAGAACTTGCGGAACGACCAAGACAGTGAAGTGTTGTCGACCCTTCGCGCATTGTTCAGTGAGTCACCCAGCGAACAACAATGGTGCACTGCACCCCTTCAACAGTGCACGTGCGGAAAGAGGCAGCTCGCAAACTCTATAAAGCAAAAAGAAAGAAGAAAAAGAGAGAGGTTTTTCATATATACATCCAACCCGCACAAGCCAAAAATTCAGTGGCGAAATTTCGCAGTGATCTTTTTTGTTGTGGCCGCATCTGTTCAGGATTCGATAAAAAAGCACAAAGAAAAATGAAACAGATTAGTAATCTCAGTTTTGATTCTACACCAAGATCACTTCTAATGTTACATTTATCGAATGATATGGTGGCAACCTTGTGTTGTCATTTCCGCACGCAAAGTTCTGGCAAGCGCCACTACATGGTAATGCAGTCGGCAGCGATGTAGTGACTTTATTGTGTGATTAAAATACTAAATCATTTGATATCCCTGCTTAGACCTACACTAAAATTATCTACAGCTATCAGTCTATGCAAACCACAGATAAAAAATAGGTGCTTCAATAGTGTTAAAAGACCCCTTTAATGAAAGCTAAATGAACGGAGAGCTCACCTTGCAGTGGCTCATGTGCATTGAGCTAACACACGAGGGGGAAGTTTCAGAAGACTTACATTTATTCACTAATCACAGGACATCCGTCATTAATTGAAGTAATCGGTAATGCACATCTGCACACGTTTGTCTTGCAACGAGTCAACCAATTCTGCACGCAGCTTGCAAAGTAAGTCTACTTCGCCTTCAGCATTCTCCTAGCGAAAAAAGTTGCGCGCCACAATGTCAACAACGACAACGACAACAACGGCTTCATCTCCGCTACTACCACAGAACACCTACCAGTGCTACTACCCTTTGCGCCAAAGCCGTAGCGTGGCCAGCCCGTGGCGAGAAAGGAGGAGCGTCTCTACCCAGAGAAAAGCAGATCAGCATTTGAGAGAAAACCAACACTCCACTGCAACTTTTTTTTTTGCTCTTTTTACGCGTGTTGTTGAAAGGAGAAGAGTTACGTGGCAGGGACGGAAAAGGGAGAAGTGTGGCACAGGCCCATAGCAGATTGGCATTTGAGAGAGAGAAAACATTCCACCGCAGCCTTTTCTTTCCTTTTCCCTTTCTTCACGCAAAGCATTGAGGTGTCAGAAGAGCCGCCGCGGGATTGGGCGCAGTGCTGAGAGCATTTTCGGAGCGCAATATGTTCGAATTAACCGTCGCAAGTGCTTGCACATTCGAATTATCGGGCGTTTTCGCCCACTGGAATACACATAGCTTTGATGGGACCTCATCATGAGTTCGAATTACTGGAAGTTCGAATTAAGCGTGTTCGAATTAAAGAGATTCGAATGTAGTAGTAGTAGTAGTAGTAGTAGTAGTAGTAGTAGTAGTAGTAGTAGTAGTAGTAGTAGTAGTAGTAGTAGTCAAACTGGTACCAGAGGAAGAGGTGAATAAAAAAATAAACACGAACAAAAAATATGATAATGACACTCGGACGGAAATGTCAGGTCAGAATTTTACACTCTCATTAATTACACTAATTACATACATTAAATGTAGACCGATATTAGTCACCGACCGATTATTCCGACTGATGAAACTGCTAAAAAGTCAGAATAATAAAAAAAACTATTCACCAGAAACAAACACCTTTTCTTGCCCGGTAGTCAAAAGAACTCGTCAATGCATGTCTGCACACAAGCACGATCACAGACGACCAAGTGATACTCTATTTCAGCCAGTGTTTGGCCATAATTCTAAGTTGTAGCGCTGTTACGGCCTGCAACGAATTTGCATTTCATAACTGTGCTGTGCGCGGCAGATCATCAGAGTCACTCTTTACCTGTGCCGGTTCGGGGACCTGAAAGACATCACCGTCCAACTTGGCGAAAACTCCCGAGCGACATCAAATTGAGGTTGGCCACCTTTGCTGGCGAATGGTGAATAACTATGGCTCTTTCACCATCGTCACTATCTTGCAGCTGTCACGTTTCTTTGTTAGTGCCAAAGGCACAGCCCTTTCAGTAGGTCAGGGCTCGCACTTGAAGCAACAAAGAGCGAAACTCGCATCAGGCCTAGCTGCAGAAACAGAAACAACTGACCAGCGATCTCTTAAAATGCCAAAAGCGAACGATATAAGATTAGTTTGTGCTGCAGCACTTGTGGTTCTCTCTTCTCTTTGTCCGTTCTGCATGCGTGGCCATCTGGAACATCACACCTAGCTGACTTAAAGTGTGGGTTGGATTGGCTTGCAGTTTGGCCGTGGCAGCCGTTCAATGGATACTCGGCTAGCTAAAGCCGGAAAAAAAAAAGGCCTTTACACGTAGCCTAAACACATTGCCTTCAAGATCGAGCATTAGTTTCTAGATCGAATTTCGCACTGGCGCTATCTCTAGCCATAGCCAGTGCAAGCAACCGTGAAATGTTTCAAACAACAGCAACCTAGCAAAGATATTGTAAACATTGTGGACGGGTGGTCACGAAATTGAACATCGCACTCTATCAGCCAGCCGGAGTCCACAAAATCAAATGGTGCAACGGCCCACAATTTTCGATCGTGAGTTTACACTACTTCAATGGGACGAATGGTGGTGCCATGAACATGTCCAAATAAACGGGCACGTCCAAATTTTCAGCATCTGAATAAACAATCCGCCACTGTAAACTAGGGCCATGCACCTGGGTCACCAGAGGCCGGCAAATGAAAGCGGAACTCACTCAGACTCACTCAAGAAATATATCTCGTGCTTTGAACTCACTCGGACTCAAACACACCAAAATTTTCCTGGGCCAAACTTCCATGGACTCATGCTCAACAAAATTCTCTACAACCGGACTCACTGGGACCAAGACTCGCCAAACTATTACTCACCCGGCTCACTCGGAATCACGGCTTGAGTTTGAGTACGAGCGAGTCGACTCACGGGTGAGTTTGCCGTATTATGTCTGGGTGTGTAGACAGCAGAGAACATGCACTTGACAATATTCCAGATGTACCGTCAGGAAATTACGTGACACAAATTACATAATTGCCTCAACCCAAAGGTCGCATTATCTTGTTTTTTCCAATCAAGTGTTAGTACGCATATTTAAGATCTAGGGGGGGATTTTCAACACATGACCTTGCATGCCAATCGTGTACACTACTCACGCACTTAAAGCTTCACTGTCAGATGATTTTCCCAATGTGAAACTGTTTTTTTTTTTTTTTTAAGACTTGTAAAATAAAAAAGTACCAGCCCCCAATACCAGCCCTTTTTATTGGAAGGTCGTCAGACAATATCTCGCATGTGCAATGCTCGTCAAAAAAAAAAAAAAAAAAAGATGGCTCTCTACTTACCCTTGAGCGTGTTTCGTTTCCCGTCCGCACCGATCAGCACGTCGAACTCGTACTGAGACGCAGGGTGATCGGCAGGAAGTACTTGAGCACGCCACCCAATTTCTGAAAGGGAGTGTGCAGCCGATTCAATCACTTGACAAGGCTTAATGTTGAAGTCAAGAGTTCAACGGAATACCATCTAGTCAGGTAAACGCATTATTGAAAAACGGTCAATGACCTGTTTTTCAGTAACGTTTAATGTTGTCGGTCAAAAATATGGCGAGGAATGCAAGCAACAAAGAGGTGCGTTAGACAACTTGTAACAGCCTCAAAGGTCACACAGGAAATGCAGAAACAAAATGTCCACACTTGTACCAGTTCCAACATAGCACACTCCACATTCAGTTCAGTATCATTACAAAGCAGTGCTTGACAATAACAATATCTTTGAGAAATCATATTTTCATTAGAAACAATGCACTGCCATCAAAGGAGAGTTTGTAATAAGGTCTTTGTGGAAACGGTGCAAGTGAGATACTATATACTGGAACTGCACATTTCTAGTCTTACTCAAAAAATCAATGTTGTCGCTTCAAATGCTTAGTATGCACTCAAATATCATTTTAACAAAGCTGTACTCTACAAGGAAACAAGTTTGTTATATCCGAAAATTCATTATGAAGGTTATTTCTAACATGGTATCTATTGCGAGACTATTTTTATTTACTTTGTTATAACCAACATTTCTTTATATCAGCGTTTTTTATATATAGGTTTGAGCATATTACTGAGCAGCACATAGCGATTCAAATGTGATAACTGGCTTGCATGGCAGCCAACGCGTTTCTGGACACCAATGAGCACAGAGTGCTTGCATGGGACTCCAATTCTCCACAATGCATCGCAAGAACAACTGGTTTCATAATTTTCTCCAGAGCAGCATCTCAAGTGTGCCCAAAGCTGGTAGCACAAATTAATTACCCCAGGCTTTCGTGTAGGCAGATTATCGAGCATTAACCACCAAGCACTCTATGTGCTGCCAGTCGTGCATACGCAATCCAAACGAAAAACGTCCACGGATTTACATGCACGCTGCCACCCATATTCATTGCTTTGTTTTGGCATGATCAAGTTTCACCCGGAAAGACTGTTAACAACACTTAGCGTAAAAAGCACCACAATGTTTTGGAAGCTTCACGATTGTTTGAGCTCATTCTGTTAAGATTACATGCTGGACGCAAACAGTCAAGTCAATTCAAGAGATCGTGCAAGCACCAGCAATAACACGGTTAGCTTTGATGGCCACTATATTAAAGACAGCGCACTGCGCCAGTGATCAGATCATCAATGGCTGACACTCTGCTATATGGGTAGAGCTTGAATTGCTGTAGCTTGAGTTTTCGCTTTCTGGGCACAGGTTGGTTTAAACAAAAACCTTCGTCTTCAACACATTGACTGCTGCCTCCATCAATGTCACGACCACACGACATTACAAAGGAACTTGTGAAGAAACGAATGAACTTGACCCACTTTCCATGCTTTGGTCTTCGGGTGGCTCGAGAAGATCTTTGAAGGTCACGTTCTCGTGAACTTCGACCCCCAGGAGGAGGGCGACCTTGAGGAGTATCAGCTGTAGCTGCCTGATGCCTGCGTACAACGAAGGATTTGGTCAATAATCGTACAAAATAGTCATAGAACCTTGACCGTAAGCTTGCCTTGCATGACAATGACACGGGCACAAGATTATTATTGCTAAAACAATGGGCATAATGCAGTTATTGATTTAACAGCATTTTCAAGCTTGCCAATAAAGCAAAAATGAGGTTTTTTTTTTTAATTTAATAAAATGACAAATGATGTCATAGTGAACATACTAACAAATAAAACACACAACTGACTTTCAAATGTTAGTAACATGAAGGTGGAAAATATACCTTTGTCTGAATGGAAAACATCCTTGAAGGAGACATACTTCACTGATGGGAGCTTGTTTCCAACAAAAGCATAACTTTTTTCTTATCAGTAAGCTGCTTGGTTGACTAATAGATTTTTTTGAAACAATAAAAAAGGGTAACACAATAAATTCCCAACATGAAAAATTTATGCAAAATAAAACCTTACACACAATTTAATCCAGCAGTCATGCACAGTTCTCGTCCTTTTTCTGTTAAAACCTATTCACAAGAGCAACAAACCAGCTAGCACTGAAGGAGCTAATGGTGCAGGCTTCTTTATTAACTGGTTACCACTAAAATACTTTTTTAATCCATTCCCAATTTACCACTGTCTCTTCTAGTGTTCTGTGGAATTGGAACACGGATTAGATTAAACTCCAGATATCCAGAGAAAGGAACTTTGTTTTTAGTGTAGAACATGGAAAAAACATTTTTCAAGTACACAAAAAGTTTGGCTTCTCTGCCCTGCATGGTGTCAAGTTTTTGTCATGGTATTCTGATAGGATATGACACTGTGGCACAGTGACAGAACCATGCGTGAATGAAAAATAGATCTACACACATGAACTCATTTAGGTCATCTTTGGAAGGAGAAACTGGGTCATCTTGCAGGAATGACCTTAGCTAATCATGGTAACCGACATGCAAAATGTGTAGAGACCTCGAGACCATTTATAGTCGTAATGGCTTGATCATTGCCTTGGTTACGACTGAAAAAGTAATAGTGAATGACAAAAATATACAAGCACAAAAGAAAACAAGCTATACTATTGATGCATTTAAGAGCAGAATGGTCTTTCATCATCATGGCGTACGGTCACGAACAATATGAAAAGGAACACACAGAGTCAGTGTATAAGCAAGCAGTGATTACCTGTGATGCGTGCATATTGTTACGCCCACAGTAAAATGTAACAATATGAATGTGACATGCTATTTGCACGAGGTACCTTTAGTTTGGACATTTATTGCTATGAACACTTTCCTACTAAGTGGCTGCATGCACGAACAAATGGCCCTTTGATAATTTCAGTGTTTTCTTTCACATCGTTCTCGACTGTACTTACAGAATACGAGAACCACAGGTGACTAGAGAGCAAACATTGGCCTAACACACAAACAGAAAGACAGCATAATGAGCATGCTTGCCTTTGTGTTAACCACCACGGTTCACATGAGAGATGTAAAAGCAACACCGAAAAAGTCCTCCACTACTCACTGATGTGGTCGATGGAGCCCGCGCAGAACTTTCCAAAGAATTTCTTGGCCCCAAGGCTGCGAAGGTCGTGGATGACAAAGGGCCACAGGTGAAGGACGTTGTTGCGCGAGAAGCGGTCCCGCTTCTCCAGCACGACCACCTTGGCGCCCAAAAGCTGCGCCTCGATGGCCGTGCGAAGGCCACACGGACCACCTCCGATGATTAGAACCTGGATGGATAAAAAGGAATGAGAACTTCGGGATGTTTCGATGTCGTGTCACCCACAATTGACATGAAAAGATGTCGTTGCGAGACTAACTGAGACAACGCCCCTTGGTAAATCAAGACACAATTCATGCGTACAACAATTGATAGCTTTTAAACAAATATTGAGGTCTAGCTTATGTTGGGCATGCTGTCTTGATGCTGGACAGTACAGAACAAAGAAGAGGGAGCTCGAACAATGCTGTGACTTGGGCAGAACATTGTGTCCATGTGACTAAAGAAGTGACATGGACTTGTGTGATTAATGTTCCCAATGACTCCTTTTTGGGAGAAGTGAAAAACATAAGACAGTGTCCTTATGTTTGATTTACCAGAATGGAATTAGAACTTATATTGTATCAAAATAACTAAAATTAAGGCAAGTCGACATTGAGCCACTCTGACATCAGGATAGCGGCAATACATGCATCTGAACACCTGTTGCGTCTTGTGCACGTGATAGCAGGCCCCACAGTACAGGAGCCAGTGCCGGTGTAGGGCTTATTTGAGTAATGTTGTCAAAATATTGGATGGTGTGGACAACATGGGACAGTGTGAGAAATGTTATGAATGTTATCACATGGACAGTATACTATGACGTTATGTGGACAGAGCGAACAACATTGTGACAAGCTAATGACCAATGCTGTGAATGTTGTCAAATGGACAGTATGTGTTGATGTGATGTGGACCAAGCAAACAACATTGAGAAAATGTGACCCATGCCTCAATGTTGGACAGTGTAGACAACATGGCACGGTGTGAACATGGAGCAGTGTTTGACAACATAAACAGCGTGAACACTTACTGACCCATGTTACCAAAGCTGCACTGTGCGACCGATGTTGTGGAGATTGTGGACAGCATGGTACATGCACTGTGACCATCGTTCTTCCTGCCCCACACTTAGACAGGTTGAGCAGCATTGGTCCCATTTACACTGGCCACATTTACATTTATTACACACTGGGGAAGAAATGTTGAAAGAGGCAGAAGGAATAGAGAAAAGACGCCGCCACGCACCCGCATGCCCGCACATGCTTTCCCCCGGTTGTAGCACTTGTGGGCCGCCCGCTTGTCCAGCTTGGCCCAAAGCGAGGCGGCTCGCCAGGATCGTAGCTTCACCTTGAGCCGCGGGTAGAACACCGGCAGCGGCGCCGGGCTCAACTGAAGCACGTCGCACATCTGCAAGGATGGAGACACCAACACACTAATTACTGACAAACAGGCTAATTCACTCATGGTGGTAAAGCTATTCTTCAAGATACGAGTACCATAATAGCTCATGGATGAATGAGTGAAGTAGGGCTCAAGAGAAACTGAAGGGCATGATAGGATCATATTTTATAGTGCCGCATGTTTTGCAAGCTTGAGACATAAAAAAGTGATTTGAAAAGGTTGCATCAGAGAAATAACGATTTATCTGGTATTACGTGCATATTGCTATGCAGAGATTATGTACTAAACCAAAAAGACACCTTCCAACAAAGCCCGCTCATCAAAAGCCATTCAGCAGAAGGCAAATACACAAGACGAGGTCAGCCCTTTATAAACAAAAAGGCAATGAACGAATGTGATGGGCTGAGATCGGCAAAGCTTTTTTTACTAGTGTTCAAAGTGCGAAGGAATCTTTTTAAATTACAAACGTGGAGTTTGTATTGAAATAGCTGCAATAAATAACCAAGTCCAAAGAAAAGATTGAAAATTGCCACGTAAGAAAGCACTCCCATTCACCCTGCTGTAAGAGTGTGCTTTGTACAGAGAGAGCTACTTTGGGCACTTCAATAGGAAGACCTACCAGTTGATGAAAAATGCATCGTAGGCTAGGTATTAAGCTCTGCCCCTCTGTATTTCTTAAGCGGCCATCAACCACGCAAGCCTATGAGGAAATAAACGAATGGTTCACAATGCTAAATTAACCGAGAGCTCAGAGCTGGGGTTTGGGATGAGCAACGAATGCGCCAAATCCGTTCTGGCAGGTCCACAAATGGGAAGTGACAAGACAAAGACACTCTCGGCTACCTCTGTCTTCCTAAAACAACTCACTAGCAAAAGTGTGCTTGGGGAAGGATGACAGGGTCACGAGAGTAGTGACTGTGGGGCGACAATGATAACGCTGCTGAAAGCCAGTTCATAAATGACCATGCACCACTTGCTCAAGCACCACTGTCATCCTTTTAGCAGCTGCAATTATAGGAACTGCAATCGAACCACTTTATAAGATGCACTGATATAAAAGACAAATGGGTATAAGAGACACCAGTGTGCTTACAGTAAAATACAGGTTCATAAGAAAATGCATGTGAGGTACCCTGCTTATAAGAGACATCTCACATCAAAAACAGGAATTGCTGCTCAGAGCGTGCCTCTTATAAAGGGGTTTAACTGTATTAATTATGTAACTTCAGAATTAAAATAGTTTGATGTTTTCTATTTAATGACTCCATACATTACAAATCCAATCTCGAGTAGATTTTAGCTTGTTAATGGGAACAATATGAAATGTACCCTCAGCTGTACAGTGCGGCATTACACTAAAGCAGCTTTTATCAACTTTTCAATTCCAACCAACCACTGTATCTTCTGCAGGCTATGATCATATCTCATATCTCTCCTATTCTGCCTACGAGGATGATTCAAAGCTGCACATGTACGTAGTACTAAGTGTGGCACAGGTGCCAACCCCATCTTCAAATAGTTGCCTTTGAGTGCCCTAAAGTGCTTTAACAGGGAGTTTACGTTAAACTGGTCCTTACGGAGTGCTCACAACACATTGGCCTGATTCATATAGAATGCTTAAAAGTATTCTCCCCTTTGACCTGGCAGCAAAAAACATTGACCGCATCACTCTTCCAAAAGCTACAGGAGCAGGTAAACCTTAGTTGACCTGAATCCTAATTTTAACTGCACTCATTCATTTCTCGTCCTGCCGTGCCTAGCAATGTCTTTTGCATACAGAGTATACTTGTTGCCCAAAAACACATAAAAGTCAAAGTCGGGCAGTCCTGCATGGCATAGTGAAAGGCGTGGGGTCTCGCTGTGCAGGGCGCCACACTATCGGAACACGAACACAGTATATGCGGTCAAAAACGAACCAAACAACACACATTTATTTAACTGCTTTCAGATCGATGATATCATCAGCCAAATTATTTTACAAATCAATTGTTATCAACACGCTGAACAACCTTACACAATATTACACAACACTCAAAAACATAACACAAGAACACACACAAGGTGGCTTCGCCAACGCTTCATTCACCAAAAGAGCCCACGGCAGACGGCCCACGGTGCCGTTCATTGCACACCCTCCGCTAGAGACAACAGTTTGCGCCAACCATCACACGCAAAAGATACCCAATCATCTTTCCCGTGCCGCCACCAAGGCCTGCCGGCACCATCGTTCTGACCATGGTAATGATGGTGTTGATGAACGCTCACGAACACCACACCACCTACCGCTCTACAGTTGTGAACCATAAATGCGACCAATGAACGAAACACATGCACCACAAGGCACAAACAACTTCACAAGGGGTGTTAGCACCCCAACAAAGGCCCCTGCGTCTCCAAGCCTAGTAAATGTCTCAACCAGTTGAACCCCCAACAAATTGTAAAACTGTTGGAAATTTTTTATTTATTTATTTATTTATTTATTTATTTATTTATTGTATTTGCGGTTTCGCTAGTGCATTGTTTGCTACCTATTCCCCATCAGTTCTTTAGGATGTATCTGCTCTGTGCTGTAACAATGAGAGGTGATCAGGTAGTTACTCTCGAGGTAAAGCACACACAATAAAAGAATTAGAACAGAGAGCAATGCAGAAATCAGTATGATGCACTACTAGAGACTGAGGTTCGTTGAAAAAATGTAGAAACCACAAAAAACTTTGTGCAAAGCTGTTGCATAAATTCTTTCCGCACTTTTCCAGCAGCTGCGCACGTCAAAACATTTTTGCTGTGTGTACCTTTTCATGCCATTTCAATGGACTTCGAATGCTGTAGCGCATCAACCTGTCTTCTTTGTTGTTTTTTTTCTGTTCTCGTCATTTGTCGTGCTTTGCTTCAAAATGTGCATTAACCAACTCTTCCAACTGCCCCTGTTCAATCAGGAAGCACCGTAGTGATCAGGAATGAAAGAAACAAATGCAAATTCAAGGGCTCGCCTTTTTCATTACACAGAACATTATTGAGAACTAGCAGACAATGGCAAGGAAGAGATATGGGATCTTATTAGATGTGGTCTTAATGCAAATGTAAAGGAAGAAACACGAATGAAAAAATGACTTTCTGCTGTTATGTTACATTTTAATTACTTCCAGTAACATCCCCTATACTTTCCTTTGCATCATTGTTAGTTCTCATAAATATTGTGTCAAACAAAGAAAACAAGCCCTCTAACTTCTTTCCTTCATTTATAGCGACGGTTTCACTCCAGTGGACTTGAACTTTTCAGGTAGTGTACGAGGGATTATTAGTTCGCTGCCAGCTCGTGATAACATCCCATGTGATGCCAACAGGCAAAAAGAGTGTTCCCCGCTTTTTTTAGAAGTGTTCCACACTCGCCGCAGTGGCTACTGGCAGTGCCGAGTGGCGCTACCAGGCTTAAATGCACATATATGCATGATAAGGTGGATGGAGGTATAACCGCCGCCGCAGCTCAGTGGTAGAGCATCGGACGCGTTATCTGAAAGTTGCAGGTTCGGTCCCTGCTGGCGGCAAGTTATCCTTTCGTCCGCTTTTCTTTCTTTACATAAGAATTACTTCCCCTATGCATTCCTTGGCATTGTGTGTCAGTTCTCATTGATATACTGACAAGGAAGGGACACGAAGCAAGGCCGACACAGTTGAAGGGGCACTCGCCTGCCGGTAGGTGGACAGGGCCGTCTTGAAGGTGCCGGCGGACACGAACTGGTCGAAGATGTCCGAGGCCAGCGCGCTCTCGGGGCTCATGGCCTGGGGCAGCCCCGTGGGGGTGCCCCGTGCGCCCCGCATGGCCATGATCACCGCCCCCTCCTCCACCCCCTCCTACCAGCGATTCGACGTCAATGCCTTCTCCGCCGCATGGCTGATTCGACACCAACCGTCCTGCAAGAGAATGGGCATCTTCATCAGGGAGACAGTTCTACTCATGGCTAACGGTACAGATGCACAACCCTCCACCCTTCATCGCCTGCTTACATGGCTCACAGCCCAATGTACAGTACCCATGGACAGAAACGTGACATCCTTTTCTTTTTAAAGGCCTTGTCAAACATGAAAAGTGACTGTCAACGTCGGCATCAACATGAGAGATGCAAAAAACTGTCATTGTGATGATGTCCCCAACTACGTCACAGTTAGATAAAGTTTGTTTCATCATCATGACGTAACTGTGACGTCACGTTATGTGACATCATCATATGACAGTATTGCTCAATCTTAGGTGGGTCATTCCTGGAGGTGCGTGCAATGCACAAGGCTTCCAATGCTTCCGAATCCGGAGGCAGGGCAGAAAGCTAGGTCTGGAGAGCCATCAGGGGTGGGTGGATCAATCTAATGCTATGAACAAAAAAAAAGACGATAACTTTCATCTTTGAATCATTTTGTATGAATGCATAAGAAACCCTGTGAGTTTCTTGTACTCATACCTCGTTATAACGAACCCAAACATAAGGAAATATTGATTATAATGAAGTAAATGAAGAATAGTGTCCTAATAGATGAAGTGTTAAGAATAAACATCCATAAAAAATTTTCAGATATAAAAAACATATTTTTGTATAAAGTACAACCTGTTATAATGAAGTTTGAGTGTATAATGAGCGCTATGAGCAGGGGTGGGTGTTTTCAGAATTTATTTTTTTCAAAACTTAAAGAGTGTTTTTTGCAGTTTGCTTTTTAGGGTAAAATATTTTATTTATCAATGCTCATTTTTCATAAATCCCCAATCCTCCCAAATTAGGAGTTTAATGTAGCTATATAAGTTGTTGCAAATATGGTCTTATTCATAACTATTTACAATGACATCGCTTTGCATTGTTGCTGATAATTCTGCTTCTCAGTTCTATCATTTTCTTTTTCTCTTTTGCTATTCATTTACCCTGTTAATAAGGCTGTTCATGTGCACTGCTGTACTCGTATAATCATTAAAGTGAACTTTTCGGAGGCAAGACCTAGTCGCGCTGCCCCTTAGCCTTCTCTCCAAGCCTCTCCTATCCTTTTGATGAAAAATAAAAAAACCTATCATTATTATTATTATTATTATTATTATTATTATTATTATTATTATTATTATTATTATTATTATGAAATCTTAGATGAAGTGATATCTGACCCCAAAAATCTGTGAACCCAGTGCATTTTAGATGTCTGGAAGGTTTGACTACACAAACACCTGTATACACAAACACAAATATTTCAATATAAAACACCTATGTTCCTTGATATGGCAACCCTAAAGCTTATTGTAATAGAAGCAAGCATACTCTTCAAGGTTACTGTCACTGATGAAAGTGCGCTCCTTTCACTGATAATTATCAGCTTCCAAAATACCATTTGAATGTAGAGAATATGATGGCCTTTAAACAGGAGTTTATCGGATAAATCCGAATCACTGGAATTGCGACGGCAAGTGTTTATCAGATTTTTTTTTTTATTAATTTGAAAAGACGGAGTTCTAGCTATGAGCAATTGCTTGTAATAACTGCCATCACATCATAAGATATCTTACTACCAAGGATAACGTTGGCTAATGCGTAGTGTGTTCGAGCAAAAGTTACACATGGTAAAAACTGCTGGTGCCGGACATAAAAATACAAGCATTACTTAACCGTAAATTTTTGCATTTCATTCTCTGAGTCCTGTAGAGCAGCTATCACTGAACATTATTAGCAAGTATTGGTACTACATATGTTACATCTTAAGTGGAAGTTGACACGTAGGAATGCTGCATTTTTCATAGCACGCTTGAGCAACAGTTCTGAGCATGCCGCCGTGCAGACATGGAAACGGTAAGTGTGCAATGCTATTACAGGCACAGAGTCTGCAGTACTTGTTGCTATTGTATTATTATCAGCTTATCTAGAGCAAATATCAACGTGCAGCAGCCCACTTTCACCATCACACCATATGCACTCTCGGGAAGACTTTGCAGCTTCGCAATCTACTTTATACCCAAACAATAACCACCATCAATCTTGTACGAGTCTTCTCTCTTTAACGCTGCATGCCTGGCCTTTTTCAGGTCAAGAACAGAACATACATTACTAGTGAGACAGACTTCATGGAAAGCACTGTACATGGCAAGCACCAAGTTTTCAAGGAAAAAATATGCAAGCAAAACAATTACTCTTTGGGGAGAAAATACAACGTAAAGGGAGCAAACTTTTCTGAGAGCCATGCACATGCCTACGCACTACAAGAACACCCACAACCCTTGGTGCAGATTTTCGATCTTTTAACATAATATCGATAGCAATTTTAAATATGTTCAGAATGTTGCCCTAAATGAGAACACACTGGTGTCTAAAACACTTAAAAGAGTGTTGTGGCACCTGGGAGTGCATCGAATCTATTTTTAAAGGAGTACCGACCCGATTTCGAGTCATCGAAAAAGGGAAACTTTTCATTTCCTTGGTATGCAGTATTAACCCTTTCCGCAGACCAGAGTCTGCCAGCACATATAAAATATTTTCTTTGACTTTAATGATTTCGTCGCTGAGCATCAGCGAGCCTACCACGCCACAATGGACATTATTCCGACGAGTCAACTCAGGTCCACGAAATTGCATACCCTGCGTCCTGAACGCAGCCAGAATCGCAAAAAAATGCTGTTGGGGTTGCTGGGGAAAGTGTACCCATCGTTGTTCCCATGTACCACAAGCAGATGGCCAATCTGTCACAAACACATCGCGAATGGCTGTTTTCACGCGACATCAGACTGACATGGCACGTCACGGAGAAGCCGCCCCCTCAATATCGAAACCAAAAGTAACTTCTTAAAGTGATGGTGATATGTGTGATGCATTCACCATTACTTTGAAAAACATGTGTGGTGCATTCCCAATAAATCACCGCCGTACTCTTTTTTAGGGTTCTCAAAACCCACGTTCTTATTCAGAGCGACAATCCCAAAATATTTCAAATTCGTGTCAGTACTCGTTTAATACAGCTACCTTAAAAAAAAAAAACTTGCTTTTGATATGAAGGGGGCGGCTTCTCAGTGATGTGTCATCACAGTGTGACATTACAGGGAGACAGCAACTCACAGTACACTAGCAGCAAATCTGTCATCTCCTTGTGGTGCATGTAAACAACGATGAGTGAATTGTTGCTCAGCGACCCTAACATCGATCTCTGTGATTTAGGCTCCATTCAGGATGCAGAGTTTGCAAACTCAGCGGAACTGTGTTGACTCGTAGGGATAATCTCCACCATGTCTGGGCTGGCCAGCGGATGCTCACGTGCCATAACGCATGTCATAAACTAACTTCAGTTCTGCAAAGTGACAATAAGTGAACATGAATTACATGGTTTTTCTAGACAAACATCAGACTGGCGAAAATAGTATACTCTTACTGTACCACTAATATTCAACTAGGACTGTTGTGAAACCCTAGGAAACATTTTGACAGTAGCAGATAAGTTGTAAATTGTTCTCTTCGTGATTCTCAGTGGACCAGTAGTAAGCAGTGCAATCTGTCCAATTTTTGTGGCACATAAGCGATAGCAATTTTTCTGCACACAAGACATATTTTGGTTGCACCCAGTCATATACAGCTGTGCTATAAAAACAAATGTAGGTTTTACTATAAAGTGTGATAACTAAAAGAATTTGGGATGAAAAATGCCAATGAGGCTTACACTAAAGGCATTGTTACAAAGCTTAGACGCTAGTGGAAAAAGAAAGAAGCATGAGGAAAAGAAAGACATTGTTTCTATGATTGTCATGGTCTTTGTGTTCCTTGGTGTTTACTTGCTTGATAAATAAAATCTTAAACTTCTTTAAAGGACGTAGCAATATATATGTGATGCTTTGAGAAATAACTATGTTTTAAGACAGCTATCGCATACTTCATCGTTTAAAAAGTAGTCACTGATATTTTTAACACTTCTATTATGTTGTGCCCAACACCATTTTTTATCATTATTTTTTATCTGTTATTTTGGACGTTATTAGACCTGTTTTACCACAAGCAACAAAATTGACAGCACACGAAAATGCCTTCCCCCCTTTTGCAAGAAAGACAAACGCAACGACCGATAAAAATTGGGGGACCCTTGAGCTTCACCTTTGAAAGTTGAACGCGATAGCGAAATCCGGCTCCTAGTGCGCCCTTCAACTGCTAAGTGCATATTTACTCATATGTCTTGTTGCATACGCACGCACGCACACAAACACGCGCACAGTAGATTGGACCAGCGCGCGCTATTATCGCCGAGTGGGCTGGTTTTCGTCGTGACATCTGTCGAACAAAATGCGTGAAAGGGGCCCTGAAACACTTTTTCAAGTAACTATGGAATGAATTCACTAGAAGAGCTTATTGCCTCAAAAAATTCAACGCCACAAAAATTTTAAGAATCCGTCCAGTGCGAGCGGAGTTACAAAGGTTTGTCGCATGCTGCAATTGCATTATCTCTTCTCTCGCCCCGATGAGAGCGCTGGAAGCTAAGCAGGAAGGGGGGGAGGGGGGGGGCAGGGCAATCAAACTACCACGCCTCGTGACCTTGAGCACTTTTTTTTCGAATGCGTGGCTTTTTCAGTGTGATCGCGCGCACACGCGTGGACAAGTAGCGGCCTTTTGCGGCTATCTCGGTAACTTGATTCTTTTCGATCACAGACGCACAGACAATTTTTCGCTCACAACAAACGAGGCCGTCGCCGGCAGTGGCTTTTCTGCGGCACGAATCTTTAACGCTGTCGCGTTAAAATGCCGCAGAAATGACTGTTGGATAAACCCCCCTGCCGCAGCCTTCAGCTTATCTCACGTGTGCACCGTCGTCCTTTACGAAAGGGAACGCGCGAACACGTGGCCTGCGCTCTGCGGCGGCTGCCTACAGCACCATCAACCGACAGCAAAAGAAAACACGTTCGCTTTCAG